CTCCGCGCAAGGGGGATGATCGCACCACGTTGTGTTAAAATGGTCAAGCACCCTCGAGGCAGTTACACAGTGCTTGCAATTGTCTCAGGATGTGGAAGCACCAGAAAATAAATCAAGTCACCATACGCAGCTGTCATCCGTATGCAAGGAAGTAAGCACAAGATGTCGAACACCCTTAGCAGGATGCAGCGCACCCTTCATGCGACTCGCCGAATATCTCACGGCGCTTCGCGCTTGGTGATGTGAGAGCCTGGTCCGGTGAGAACCCGGCGTGCTCCGTCCCGGCATTTGCAGGCATGCGAGGTCAATGGTCTAACGACTACGGCATGCACGACTATGAATATGAGTACCCCCCCCCCCTCCCCCCCCTCACCTGTTCTCGAAGCCACTCCACAGCCACAACCGGCGCGCTCGCGCTCAGCTCCTTCACCACCGCAAGTCCGGGCCACCTCGCTCCCCCTCTCCCGGCCCCCGCCCCTGCCCCCCCCCTCCCCCCCGCGTCCACGCGCGTCGCCGCAAGAATCTGGATGGAGTTGCCCCACCCCCTCGCCAACAGCGCCATCGGCGGCGCCTGCGCGCGGGCCGCCGAAGGCTGGGAGGGTCCCCAGGATAGGCACGGCGGGGGGAGGTGACCCGCCGCCGCCGCCGCAGCAGCAGCAGCAGCGGTTACGGGGCCGCCGCCGCCGCCGCCGCCGCCGCCCCCCGAAAACAAGGGTGGGCGCGGCCACTTGTGGATCACCTTCACCTGTTGGCGGTGGAAAACGTCGCGTGTATGAGTGATGTGTTTTCGATTCTCGACAGCAAACATACATGCCCAACCGCGCTTACGTAGCGGTGGACCGATGAAAAAAAAAAAAAAAGACGGCTGTTCTTCACAGAGGGCGGGCGGAAGCAACAACCAACCTCGAACGAGATCTCCCGTCTGCGTGATCCCCAGACCTTCTCTTCTCGCGCGCGTGAATGGTTTTGCGTTGGCGTCGACAGCGACATGAGCGGTTTGACCGATGAAAACACGTCTGTCAAAAAAGAGCGGCAGAACCAACCAGAACCACGACGATTTCCCATCGGGCTCCCCCGACTCGTGAGTGTAGGTATTTTTTGCACCACTGCTGTATAATAGCATGAACCGCAAAACCAAAAGCTTGCGAAAGAAACGACGTCGGTGGGAACAAAAAACAGGCATTGTGGATCTGTAGATAAGCTATGGTGTTGAGACACCGCTTTTACGCACCGCATGTGGCGTGCGCGGCCCCAGCGTTGTTCGCTCTGGTCACACTCCCAGCCAGCGAGTTTACTACGCCAAGACATTCGGTACAACTGTTGGCACGGCAAGGGCTATTACCCCAGCTGTGGTTTTCAAAATATCCGGTAATCTTGGAGAGTTTGGAAACTGCACAACTCAATTGCTACACATGAACGTCTTGAGAGCCAATCAATTGCCTGGGTGGGCGCTCCAATCGAAAGTTTTGGCGGGATCTCGTCGCGGGTGGAACTGACACCAACCAGCCAAGCGAGAGAGAGAGAACGAGGGACAGTCAAAACAAGAACACCCTAGAGAACGCACCGGGGGTGCGCGATCGATTACTAAAGAAAAGTTTCGTTCTTGGACTTTTTCCATCGCACGGGCCCGGTGCGAAAGCATGTACATCACCGACCCCGCGCGCTCCCTCGCATCATCCCTCACACAACCACACAGCAAGCCGGAAAAAGGCGTTCGAGACGCTGCTGTGCTTCGGGGGTCCCTTCCGCACCTCGGGGTGAATGCCAACAATGAACGTGTTCTTCCACGAGCTCATGGCCATCATGCCAAGGTCGTAGAAACCCGGGCCCGGACCCCCGACAGCCACTCCCCTGCGACCGCCTCCCCCCCCAAACGAGGACAAGGATGGTGATGGTGACGCGGAGTCGGTCCAGGTTGGCAAGACGCACAGCGCGGGAATCGGCCCAGCGGCTCCTGGACAAGCCACGATCGATAAGTTCAGCAAAGCAAACAGAAAAATGTGGTGGGTGTCGTCGTCATTTCGTTGACAACCGCTCATATCTCCGCCCAGCACCTTCTAATATCCGTACTGGTCCAAGGGTCCAGGCACTTGCGAAAGGAACACACAAATCAGAGAGGTATACCATCATGCCTTAACCGGAATGGATCGAGATGGCGTCGGGACAAGGACGGCCGGGCGAAAGGGAAACCGGACGTGAACAACCCGGCGGGGGGCTTGCCTGCAATCAATACTAACGTCCTGTTTTGGTCTGTTGCTTTCCCTGATTTGGGTCGAAGTGCCTGGAGAGCGGGGCGTGGGTGTCACGCAGTCTACTTCCTGACTTTGTCTTGGGTCCACGTCCGCTCCACGAACAAAAAACCTACGTACGACCTCTCTGTTCTTCATCCCCTCCTCCCTGCGCCCGCCGTCTGCTGCTCCCTCTCCTTTCCCAGCCTGTTTCGGTCTGTCTCTTTCTCTCTGTCTCCGTCTCCGTCTCTGTCTCGCTCCCTCCCTCTCACTATGTCTGTCTCCGTCTGTCTATGCTCTTGTCTCTGTCTCTGTCTCTGTCTGTCTGTCTGTCTATCTGTCTGTCTGTCTGTCTGCCTCTCTCTCTCTCCCTCCTTCTCTTACCCCCGGTCCTCTCTCTACGCGAGGGAAGGTTTGCCGGCACTTACCATCCAACAAGCACTCCGTGTCGACGACCCATTTCGTCCACATCACTCTCCGAAAGCACATCTTGCTCACCACCCCCTCCACGTCCGCCGTGATAGCCGCGGGGTCGGAGCTGCCCGCCAACCCTCCCCCGCCGCCGAGCCCCCCGCCCCTGCCCCCGCCGCCCCCACTTCCACCCTGCACGAAGCACCTGACAGACACTACGGCCGAGGAGTGAACATCCACCACCGCCTTCAGGACGACTCCCCTGTTACCCGGAAACAAAAAAACGTGGCGAAGACGAGTCAGTCAATGAAATCGCACTGCTGCCTTCCGTGATATTCTCCATTTGGTTCGCACGCGGGAATATAACCCTCACCATGAGATGTAATACCCGTACCGTATACACGCGAGAAACGGAAAAGGGAGCCCAAGACAGCTAGCGACAAATCCGTTGCGGCCTCGCTAGTCCGCCCACCGTGAAACACGTGCTCTGTGGCGTGGGGGGGGGGGGGGGGGGGGNGGGGGGGGGGGGGGGGGGGGGGGGGGGGGGGGGGGGGGGGGGGCGGGAAATAAAATCGAGAAAAGAGAGGGCCAACAAAAAAAAAACACGGTATATCTAGGTATGGAACGGCGTGTCCTCACACGTCACGAGCCCTGCCGCGGACGTGACAGTAGAGGGGCGCCGCTCATCACATGGGGAGAGGGGCCAGTCTCCCTCGCTATTTATCTACCTGAGGTAATCCCACAGCAGCACTCTGCCGCTCCCATGGCCAGCTACGAGGTAGTCACTCCCGACAAACATGTCCAGTGACGTAACGGGATCGTCGGCGGGGGCCCCGTCGGCACCCCCCCCTGCCGCGCTTCCCAACACGTGGCGGATCTCCTGAGAGGGCACAAATACGAACAACCAAACAAGCAATTGGGGTTTGCATGTGGCAAGTGCGTGAACATGGGGGGAGGGGGTGGGAGGTTAACGGCGTACCTTGCAGACACATTCTTTCGTCAACCGAACCGACATACACCACCAAGACACGCATCAAAACCAGGGAGGAAAGAAAGAGAACCGAGCCACCACATACATGACAGAGTGCCACCAACCTACCCGAACATACCGGCCGCACATGCATCAGCCATAAAGTGACACCAGCCAGAATCAGCCCAGAGACACACGGAAATACAAGCCCTTCTCGCCATCCAACCAAGTTGTGACAAACAAAGTTTTCAATTCGCTGAACGCCAGCCAGACTAAAAAGCCAACCAAACCAACCACCTCTCAGATCGGTCATACCGAAAACACTACGCTCATGCGCAACATAAGGACCATTTGGACTCAAGTCTCAATATGCTACGACAAGAGAAGGATGTATTTTTTCACCGTTTGTTGAACGTGGTACTAAAAATGCGCCTTCTCCTCGCCCCCCACCCCCCCTCTTACTACTCCTCCTCTTCCGCCTCCTCCTCCCACCTGAAAGTGGTCGAAGAGCAGAATCAGCCCTCTCGACGTCCCGACGGCGATAAACTTGGAGTGCGCCGCCGTCGCCGTGCAGACCCCCGGCCCGTGCTTCCCGTACGCCGCATTCCTCGCCAGCTGCCGGGAGGCCGCATCCAGGTTCTCCATCCTCACCACCCCTACGCCCCCGCCCACACCGCCTCCGCCGATGCCTGGAAACCCGGCGGAAGGCTGTCCCGGAGGCGGTGGCGGCGGAGGAGCGCGCATCCGCCGCTTGACCTAGCACGTCAAGGGCGGTGCGAGACAACATTGACAACATTAACAACAACAACAAGTTGCAATGGTTTCCGCGTATTTCATCCCACGTTCAAGGCGGCGTCAGAAATACGAAAATATGGACAAGGTGCAGGTCCTTTGTTCATCGTTTCTTGTCTTCTCCTTGGAAGTAGTGTGAGAGGACCATCGGATCCGGGAGGCTTTTCACTATTTAATGGAGTGAACGGCAGGCAGGGCGGTTCGGGCATCGCGAACAGGCGTCCAAGTTCGATGACGGTGGGCGCATGGCCTGCTTTGGTTTGGGCGACAGCCTTAGGTCGGACCTGATTCATCTCTTCAGTGTAAGGGTTTCAATCGGGAGAGAGACGAAGAGAGAGGGTAGAGAGACAAGACAGGCAGGCAAAAGTGGTGATTCAAGCACCATGGGCAACGGTTTTGCCGTCCCGTTCCCAGCAGGAGCAGCGGGGGCAACAACAGACGCGACAACCGCCCGTGATACATGCTACAAACAACGTCTGCGGCAGACCACACGGCACGAAACCACCACCACCAAAAACACAATAAGAAAGTGAGGCGTGACAGACCCGCGAAAAAACATCCCGAATTCCCAACCACCCACAACCGGCGCGACCCAAAGCATACCGACCCCCCAACTATTATATCTCCCACAGGTATGTATGTATGCATTCACCTGGAGCGGGCTAATCATCTCCCGGTTGCCGCCGCGCAGTAGCCTCAGTTCTGCCGCCTCTGCCTTCCTCAACGCTCCCGTCAACCCC